AAGCTCATCTGACACGGTGGAACTGCCTATTGCGTTGCGAAAGGGGACACGTGAAGCGGCACAAAAGGCTTTACCACCGAAGTTTTTTGATGATCATGACATTGGAAAATGTGTGTCTTATGAGGCTTTGTCTCCTTCCTATAGAGTGTTTGTTGCCTCTCTTCAAACTGTGTCAATCCCAAAGGATTGGAAGGCTGCAAAGCAAGATCCGAAGTGGCGTGAAGCGATGATAGAAGAGTTGGAAGCACGAGGAAAAACAAGACGTGGGTGCTAACCACATTGCCGACAGGAAAGAAAGCAGTGAGTTGTAAGTGGATCTATACAGTGAAGCAGAATCCTAAGGGGAAGGTGGAACGATATAAGGCCAGATTGGTCGCCAGAGGATATAGTCAAACTTATGGAATGGACTATGACGAGACGTTTGCTCCAGTGGCAAAGATGAACACAGTAAGGATATTGGTTTCCTGTGCTGCAAACTTTGGGTGGAAGTTGCATCAATTAGATGTCAAGAATGCCTTCTTGCATGGTGAGTTGAGGGAAGAAGTGTACATGGAGATACCACCAGGTTTTGGTACTTCACAGACCACGGGGAAGGTATGCAGGCTGAAGAAATCCTTGTATGGACTGAAGCAATCGCCGAGGGCTTGGTTTGATAGGTTCAGATGTGCTGTCCGTGCTATGGGGTATGGTCAATGTAATGGTGACCACACGGTGTTCTACAAACACTCACTCTCTGATCGGAAGATCACCATCCTTGTAGTTTATGTGGATGACATTATCATCACTGGAGATGATAAGGAGGAAATAGAGAGATTGAAGGGGTGTCTAAGCAAGGAGTTTGAGGTAAAGGATTTGGGCAACCTAAAATACTTCCTTGGCATTGAAGTGGCTCGGACAGAGAAGGGAATATCTTTGTGCCAACGGAAATACACCTTGGATCTCTTGAGTGACATGGGCATGATGGGATGTCGTGCAGCCCCTACGCCGATTGAACAAAATCATCGAGTGAAAGCTCAATCAGGTGAGCTGGTGAATAAGGAAGATTATCAGAAATTAGTTGGGAGGTTATTGTACTTGTGTCATACCAGGCCTGACATTACGTATGCCGTGGGTGTGGTGAGCAGATACATGCATGAACCAAGGAGTGGGCATCTTGATATTGTGCACAAAATTCTGAGATACTTGAAGGGGACTCCGGGTAAAGGGTTGTGGTTTGCGAAGAGTGGACATCTTGAGGTGGATGGCTATAGTGACTCTGATTGGGCCAGTTGTCAAGATGATAGAAGATCAACTTCTGGCTACTGTGTGTTTGTGGGAGGAAATTTGATGTCATGGAGAAGCAAGAAACAGACAGTTGTGTCTAGATCAACAGCAGAAACTGAGTACAGAGCATTATCTCAAGGGTTGTGTGAGATGCTCTGGGTGAAGTACCTACTGAGCGAGTTGAAACTTCTGAGGAAGGGCCCCTTGAAGGTGTGGTGTGACAATCAGTCAGCTATAGCCATTGCTAATAACCCAGTTCAACATGATAGGACAAAGCATGTGGAAATTGATCGCTTCTTCATTAAGGAGAAACTTGATGTTGGGATCATCAGCCTTGGTCATGTCAGTTCTGGGCAGCAGTTTGCAGATTGCTTGACAAAGGGACTAGGAACAAAGGACTGTAACTTGGCATGTGACAAGATGGGAATGATAGATATCTACCACCCATCTTGAGGGGGAGTGTTGAACCGGTATGGGCCCAAGCCCATCATATGTATCACTTAGGGCCCAAGCCCATAGGGCCCAAGCCCATGAGGATAAGCTGACCTAGAAGGGGCATCCAGTCCTCCAGTTTCCAGTGAGAGCCGCCACACACACTCACACTCACGCTGCAGGTACTCCTCTCTCCCTGAATCAACACATAATATGAACATTGGAACCATGATTCAGAGTTGTTCATATCTTTAGATGGCCAGAGCATAGTGAGGTGTTCTTGAGTTGTATCACCAAGGATTGTTTTGCTTGGGGTTAAGGATGACGATAAGAAACGAGAGCGACTCGTGGCATTGTAGGGAAGTGATGCATTTGCAAAAGATACAACTGTGAGAAACAATTTCATCTCATTGTGCTATATATTAGTAGGCTTGCTACATTTGCAATATACTCTCTCTGTCCCAAAATTCTTGTCTTAGATTTGTCTAAATACAGATGTATCTAGTTACGTTTTAGTGTTAGATACATCCATATCTAGACAAATCTAAGACAAGAATTTTGGGACGGAGGGAGTATGTAACAATGAATATATATCTTCCTCCATTTGATTGTAGAAACTAAAGTACTTTTTTTTGCTTTCTAGGAATTATGTGATTTGAGATTTCAAGTAGTTTAATTATAAAAACCCTACCCACATTGATTCTAGCCTAGTTTGGTCTTAGGCTTTGTTTCTTTTATTCAAAAGAATCTCATAGAATTTGGGAGAAGGATCTGAATCCTAAGGTTTTCTTTTGTGTGGATCTCATTTGACTCACATGATCCGGATTTTGGGAAAAATTTCTAAGGATTTCTTGCACTATAGTTCGAGGAAAATTTGAATCTAATTTTTTGATAGAATTCCTTCGTTTTTCATGTGACGCGTGAAAAATCCTTTTTGCGAATTCCTATAGTTTTTCAAAGCCTATAGGACTTCAAAAGTGCAAGATATTCTAATTCTTTTTTCCATTCAATAGTATAATAATACCCCCTCTGTTGACAAATATAAGATGTTTTGAATTTTTCAATATGAAGTTATGGACTACATACAGACTAACATGAGTGAACAAACACACTAAAATATGTCTATATACATTCGATTCATAAAAAAAGTTAGAAAATCTTATACTACCTCCTCCGTGCCAAAATATATGATGTTTCAGTAGGCTAGTTTATAGCCTACCAAAATGTTTTGTATTTTGGTATACGGAGGTAGTATTTGTGAATAGAGGAATATATATGTTTAAAAATTCTAGCGAATCAAATAGACGCTATGTTTGTTGCCGCAGGGTAACCTAGTTGCAGAGTTGCAGTCCGTTTGTGGTTTTACCATCACAAGCAGATCCAACGGCCTATATTTCAGCATCTATGTTTATTTCTCTCTTTCGTCGCTTTTCTCCACTCCTCTCTCGCCCCCCTCTACTGCCCGAAATCCAGCAGCGACCGCCGGCGCATCTCACCCCGGGCCGAGGCCGGCGAACTCCGAAGGGAATCGGAGATGCAGCAGGTAGGAAAGAGGCAAACCCTAGATCTACCCGTGGTCAGAGATTTCTGTCGACGTTCCATCTGTTCTTCTTGCGCGTGCTTCCGATCTGATGGGATTCTTGCGGTGTTGGGCGGATTGATCCTGCAGGGCGATGGCACGGAGGCGCAGGTGACGTGGGATGACCAGCAGAACATCAACCGGTTCGGCCGCCTCAACAACCGCCTCCACGAGCTCGCCGACGAGATCAGGCTCGCCAAGGTTTCTTTCCCTTTTGAAGCCCTTCTGTTCCTCGGATGCTCTTGTTATTATGAATTGTTCAATTCCATTGGGAGAAAACACTTACGAGTTTAGGTCTTTTGCCCTTTGCAAGAGGCGCTGGGGTCCAGGGCTATGGTATTTGGGGGGGTCTCAAGGTTCTTGGGGTTATGGGGACAGAGTTAATAATATGATTCCAAGGACTCGCAAATGCATGCTTTGCGGTCTGCTGTTTGTAACTTTGAATCGCTGCATCTGAATTGCTCCTTCTTTATGTGTCTTCAAGATTATTTCCTTCGTTGTAGTGTGGCATCACAATCTGGTTTAGTCATTTGATGGGCTTTCATGGCTACGATAGTTCCGGTGATGAAATTTGCTAAGGCCAGATTTATATGTTTGTAGATTATCAGTTATGCAACTCACGAATACTAACATTAAAAACCGAGGATAGTACTATTGAGTTCTTGTTTGCAACTCTAGGGAGATGTTGGGAAGCTAGGGTGATTCTGTCTATGTATACTACAAAAGAAGTCCTACCTGTCTCTTCTTATTTTTTTTATCATTGCCAATTCCCTTGGTTTAGCTTCAGTTTATTTATTTTTTAATATGAACGAACTCCTACCACATTCAAGAAACTGAATATTGTGGATTTGGAGCCTAAATATTTTGTTTCTGTCTGATACACCTCTCGTCAATAGTTGGTTGAACAGAGTCCCAAATCAAGGGTTCGTTTTTTTAGCAGTTCGGATTACAGTTGTGGAAGCTTCACATAGTTTTAATCAATGACCCAGTAGGTATCAAGAGATCCTCTAATCCAATGAGAATTTTTATTTCATCATTCCTTTTGGGTCTGTGAAGTTTCCAGTGACATCATGGCCTGAAATGTGTTACTATGCTCCTCTATGATTTTACTAATGCTCATCCTCTAGATAAATAGGTGAAAGTGTTAGAAAATAATATTGATCAATGCCTTGGGTCTATCTAAACCTACCTTCAGAGATGCTATCTAAAAAATTGACACGAGTGGTAGACTTCGAAAAGCCATTGGAAAGACCATTCTATTTGTTAGATATCTAGCCGTCAAGGCATATGAATATCCAGTTATCTGATGGCCTTATGAATTACTTTTATGCATGACATATGTTTTTTCCTTTATCTCAAATTGAGCCGCAGTCAAGTGTTTTGCATGTGCAAATGAGCAATGAAACATTCCCTATTGAGGATATTTACTCATTTGACAAACCAAAACAATGTGACTGCAAAGTTGACATTTTTGGCTGTGAGCCTCTGACAATGGCATGTTTGTTTATAGATCTGACATGCCATTGAGACATCCAGTGGCATTTTTTAGAACTTATAAAACTTTGCAATGCCATGTTTCCAATTTTTTGATCTTCTGCTACCAAATTTGGCTGCCACTATTTCTGTACAGTGCAGTAGGCTCATTTCTGATAGAACCATAGATGCTACATTTGCAACTGAAACCAAATGTTGCTTAAAACACCACACCCTAAATTCCTTTTCCCTTATGTACCAGGAAGCAAACGAAAACCTCGAGGATGCTGGGAATGAACTCATCTTGTCTGATGAAGACGTGGTGCGATTCCAAATCGGGGAAGTGTTTGCCCACATGCCAGTGGACGATGTGGAAGCTAGGCTAGAGCAGATGAAAGAGGACGCAGCTAAGAAGTTGGAGAAGCTCGAGGAAGAGAAGGAATCCATCCTTGCCCAGATGGCCGAACTGAAGAAGATCCTCTATGGGAAATTTGGAGATGCCATCAACCTGGAGGAAGATTGATGTCAAGAACTGGAGCTGCCTTTTTAAGTGTCGAGTCATATGACACCTGTTCTTGTTCAGGTGTTTCATTCGCCTCGTTGCATTGTTTCTTGTGATGCTGGCTAGTGTAAAATGGGAGTTTTAAGTTCTAGAGGATTGTTCCCCGTTATGCATTGGCATGGTTGATCTCGGTTGGACTCAAATAGGTTGAGGCTCATTGTCCAGCAGAAGCCATGGGTAGTTTATGCAAATGGTCAATTCGGATACCAATGAGGGGACCTTTACAATGTTTTAAGCTAGTGAGAATGGTTTGAACCTGCATGATTGTATGAGATTAAGTCATTAGGCTTTACATGAAATTTTCTTCAGAGCCCTGCAGTATGAATAACGGCTGAATGTGGTTTTAACCCATTTGGATATTCCTGATAATGTGCATGACATGCTTCATGTATGGATGCCTAAGTTTAGGAAAACAGAGGAACACCTACTGATGTTTGGTGTCTCGGGTGTTTTTCTCGACAATTTGGAAGTTCGACAGAATAGTGCGTGTTTTGAAAACAAGCAAGTGGATGATCCTTGTGTGGTCATTAACATGATAAATCATTGGTTTACATCTTGGTTTATCAGAAAAAGTAGATAAACCCAGATGTTCTGACGCGGGGAACAAAAATGTTCAAACTAATAGCAAATGAATTGCTTTGTTTTGTGTATGGCTGACACTAGGCAAATTGCAGCCGACTGATGGCAACCCTGAAGATGAAAGATGAAATGATCCCTCAGGCTGCTGGAAAGAAGTCCTTAATAAATTACTCTCTCCGTCCCATAATATAAATGCTTTTTTGACACTGAGTATTATGTTTCTTGAAATAGTATCTTTTTTTTGTCATATATGGTAGAAGTCTTGAGGTCGTGTGCAAAGTCCTTGATTGTTTTTTTTTGTGCTGCTCCCAGCATAGGGGCTCGTTTAGACTTCATGCTACAAAAATTGGAGGGGGAGCTTTCTTTTTTCTATAGAAAAGTCGGACGCTATTTGAGCAACTTGAACTTGATCGGAAAACAGAGCAAACAGAGGAGCTTACAACACCCAAAGCAGAGGGAACATCACAAACATCGACTTTATTATTGGGCAAATGAAGGGAATTTTTCTGTACACGACGACGCACCGCATGCCGATCGGACCCGTCGTGCACACACGCATTATTGCCTTATTATTGTGGTCATGGCAAAGCATATGCACCAGCAGAACACCCACACTAGCTAGTATCCGGTGCAAGCAAGCAAGCAAGCAAGCAAGCAGGGATGGAGCTCCTCAGATGGAGATGCTGTTGGGGATGCCCCTGGCCGTGAGCCCCTCGGCCTGGCCCGTGTGGTCGGAGGTGTTGGGGTAGAGCAGCATGTAGGGGAACTTGGCCGGCCCGGTGCGGTTCTTGAGCCGCGGGTCCCCGTTCATGGCCACCACCTGCTTCTCGATGCCCTCCAGCCTCGCCCCGAACCGCCTGAACGCCTCCTGCGCCTTGGCGTCCGACGTCCACGCCGGCGTGTCGTGCTGCCCCAGGTACACCTCGTCGGAGGAGTGCTTGGACAGGATCTCCATCAGCGAGATGCCCACCAGCGCCTGGAACTGGTTGGTGATGGTGAGGATAAAGGCCTTCTCCGGGTCGCGCTCCAGCAGGGCGTACTCCTCGCTGCCCGGCGCCGGCATCGGCCGCCGGCTCGCCGACGGCTTGTTGGGGTGGTACCCCGAGTAGGGGTACTGCCCGAAGTTGACGGCCGCGTGGAGCGCCGACCCGGTCCAGATGATGGTGGCGCAGGCCTTGATCAGCTCCGCCACCGTCTGCATCTTGGGCCACCACGCCGCGTCCTTGAGGTCGCCGTGCCCGACCTCCCGCACCTCCTTCCACCACGCCTGCAGCTCCACGTCGCCCTGCAGCACGCCGTCGTCCGGGTAGTAGATGGTCAGGTACTCTGTCACCCACTGCTCGATGGCGTGCCACACCGCCAGCCCGTCCGCCGCGTACGGGTAGTCCTCGATCAGGAGCCGCACCTTGTGCGGGCTCGATGGGTCCTCCACTGCCATGCCCCTGCATCATCAAGATCGATTAATCATTGCTGCCACGTACGGTCCACGTCATTTGTCATTGATTGATCCATGGATTTGTCTGTTTTGTCAGTATTAATTTTACCCACCTCTTGATCAGATCGTCGGGCAGAGCTTGTTCGGTGAAGTTCCAGTTCTTGTAGACCATGGAGGACATGGGCATGGCGTGCTTGCGCGGGAACACGGTCATCTCGATGACGCCGCCGGCGTTGATGAGCAGACCCCGCGCCCGCGCGTTGATGTTCATGGTGTCGCGGTAGTGCGGGTGCAGGAGCTTGTACACCGGGTGGGTCACGCTCAGCTGCCTGTTGGTGGCGATGACGAAGGGCTCCATCACAGCGTGCGTGTTGAGCCAGTGGCTGATCAGCTGGTGCCAGCCGTAGTCGTTCACGGAGGCGTAGGCCTTGGCGAGCTGCCATATCCAGCCCTCCACGCCGGCGTGCTGCGGCGTGTACACCGTGCTCTTCGCGGTGGTCAGGTCGCCCTGGATCAGGGGCGAGCTCAGCTCGATGGCGACCGGCGCGAGCGTGCCGTCCCCTCGCAGGAAGAGCAGGGTCCGGGTCGCGTACACGAAGCTGCCGTCGAGGTTGTTGATGTCGACCAGGAACGGCATCAGGTTGTCGTGCTGGTCCACGATGTAGAGCCTGTTGCCGGCGAGCGCCTGCTCCACGGTGAGGCCCTCGAGGCTCTTGCCGATGTGCGCCTCCGTGATGGTGCTGGTGTGGTCGCCGTACTTGCTCGGATCAAGTGTACTCTTGGGAGGGAACTCCTGCACGCAGTCAAATAATGGTACGACCAGTGAGTGTAGTTTTTTTTTTTGAGGGTAGTGAGTGTAGTTTTGAATGCTTGAATTTGCTCAATGGTCGGTAGACGGAGTGGGTGTCTGACCGTGAGGCGTTTGATCATCATGGGGTTGACGCCGGCGAGCATCTCCCTGGCGAACTCCTCGTCGGTCATCCATGCCTTCTCGTCCGCCTTGATGATCTGCGGCTTGGGGAGCTTGAGGAGGAAGTCGCCGCCCATGGGGATGAGGTCCTTGACGAGCTGGAGCGGGAAGCGCTTGCGCACCTCCTCGAGGGCCGGGATGTTGGGCAGCTTGATGCCGCCCTCGTAGAGCTTGAGGATGTCGGCGAAGGAGTCGAACTCGCCGGGGGAGAGGTCGACGTAGGTGCGGATGGCTGGTATGATCCCGTCCACCAGCGCCTTGAGCGTGTAGCCCAGGAAGTCGGACTGCTTGAGGTGGCCGAAGAGCTCGTCGCGCGGCACGTAGACGTTCCCCACCAGCGGCAGCAGCCGGCTCTCGTGGTCGGGCTCTGCGCCAGCCATACATACATGCGGATCGTCAGACCAAGTGCACAGACGTTGATTACGGGGAGATTAGATCGGAAGGAAGGGGACGCACTGGTGGCCGAGGGCTTCCGGCCGGTGCGGCAGCGGCGCGGGTAGGGGAGGTCCTTGGAGCCGCCGAGGACGTCGCGGGTGTCGCCGAGGTCGTTGTAGACGTCGTAGCGGTAGACGCGGTCGTGGTCCTCGTACGGCCCCTGCTGGTCGTCGCCCCTCAGGTTCCGGAGCTCGTCGTCCCGGTACGGCTTCAGCGCCGCCGGCATCTGGTGCGGCAGGTACGCCTGCGTCACGTTCCAATCAACGGGCACCGATCAGCAAACAAAATCCACTGGACCACACTAGTACATCGATGATTGATCTCGCGTAGTACGCACGTCGTTGGCGAAGAAGACGCGGTTGTAGCGGTACTTGGCCTGCGGGTAGACCCATGAGTTGGCGACGAAGACGACGGTGCCGCGGCCGGGCACGTTGTCGAGGGTGATGGTCTTGAGGAAGAACTCGGCGGCGTGGTTGTTCTTGACGATGATGGCGCCGGGCACCCCCAGCTTGTCCACCGACCAGTCGAAGGTGACCGCGAACTTGTTCTCGCCCGTGGTGATGAAGGGCAGGTTCGTCGGCAGCAGCCACTGCTCCAGGTTCGCCTCCGCGCCCACCTTCCCGCGGCCCCCGTTGTCTGCATCACGACGTGCATGGTTAAGTTAAAAATTACTAAATGCGTGCGTCATGTCACATTATGACACACTCTTGAGTACTAGCCCGTTCGTTTCTGCTTCATTCTTAAGATTTTTTTTACTGTTGATGATGACGTTCCTGTGCTTTTTACTCATTGCGTTCGTGTGATCCACCCTTTTTACGGAGTACGAACGAACTACATATTGCACCGTGGGAAGATCAGTGGATGGATCGAGTGGTGAGTGCTCACTGTGGTCGACGTGGGTGGAGCTGATGAGCTGGCAGGTGACGCCGCGGCCGAGGAGCTCGGTGACGCCGTCCATGACGGTGGCGCCGAAGTCGTTGAAGTCGAGCGCGTTCTTGCGCATCAGGACGACGGAGCCCTTGAGGTGAGGGCCGCGGAGGCCCCCCGTGAGGTCGCTCACGATGCCGCCGACTCCGAACATCTTCGGTCGATCTACGGGGGCACTCTGGGGCTGACTGTGGCACGCTTGCTTAGCTCGCTGTGGTGCTGGTGTGTGAGAGCTCCAAGGGCAACCGGGAGGCTATTTATAGATGCTGCGCGAGATAGAGGGTGTGACTGAGCACTGCGGGCGTTGGACTCCGGCCGGGGTCTACAGTGGCCGTTCGATTTGATAATTCAGGGGATCAAGATAAGATCTCAGTGTGTATCTGCTGCGTGCATCGGGATGGGCGTGGGCTGATTATTGCGGAATCAAGACGGGATGGGTGTATAACAGGGTTGTTTTCAACTGATTCCTTCAACTTAACGGAGTAAAAATTTGTTTTTGCCAAAACTTTCCAATTTTTTGTTTATATAGTGGTTCAAACCAAGTAAAGAGCATGATAAAGGCACAACTACGAAGTGGTATGGAGATGCCACTGATTGTACCATCGAACGGTCTCC